TTTTCAATATTTACCTTAGTCTTAGTACAGTCCTAATAATCATTTTGTCTTCGCATTCGTCTTTACCTTCGTAATTTGTCTTCATTCTCGTTCTGAACCGTAAACGACTACAATCTTGCCATGAGAGTTCTAAAAATCGAAAAGCAAGCCAATCGAATATAATCGCTAAATGTTTTCATACCTGGAGCCTTCTGAGGCGAACCACAAAGGGCTAGGTTACACATATTTCATTCTTTACCTTATTTTAAGCATAATAAGGCTCTGTTTTTTGCAAATATTTCAACAAGTGTCAAATTTACGCTCAGTATTCCGATTTCCACTTAAGTCAATTTGTGTGTGTGTTTTTTGTAGTTTGAGCTGATTGCAATGCCAGTCACTTCATTGTCGCCTGCATACATTAACCTAATTCTAAAAAAACATTTCATACTATCCAAGAAATTGTGCACATATAAAGGTCTCACTTTAAAATGTTAATTTGAAAAAAAAAATTGCAAAACAGCGCGCAACCATTTTAATTTAATTTTAAATTTTTTTTTTTGATAGTCCCGATTTGTTCAGAGCGTTTGGTGTGAAATGTGTGATTTACGATCATGCGTGGTGCATACTGATATACTTATATATTTGCATATCGTTGATGAAATGTAGAAAGGCTCTAACTAACAAAATTTATTTTTTTCAGGAGAGACAAAAAAAGTTATATAATTGAAAAATAAAATGTTTATTGAAAATTATTGATGAAATTTATGTTGAATAACAATACCTAACATAAGTTAAAACTATTTTAATATTATTATCAATTATGTAGAATTTCTGTCCCTTAGGGCCTTTGTGAATGCGAAGTTATGAAAAAAATGTTTCAGTTAGGGCTTTTTGAATTCGTGTAAAATCCAATATATTTTGTTTCCATATCAAAGGAAGTTAATAGTTACTTTGAGTTATGAGCAGGAAAAAAAGAGATATGTAAGATATAATATATATATAACTGTCAGATGTCTGTCGCTTCCTTAGAATAAAATTAATGCGACCGCGAACGTATTGCTTCTTCTGGTCCCACGATATCTGCGCCATGAGTTTAAAGTTTATTTTCAAGCATTTTCATCAAACAGAAGGCAATTACGGTCATTTTTTTAGACCAAAGTACAACTAACATGATTCCCCTAACAATCTAGATGGCCTTTGATAGAAAGCATTCCCGTCATTTGTCTTAGTCTACTTACGGTGACCATATTAACCAACGTAAAATAAAGGACCTTTATTCAAAATAATTTGGGAATACGTACATACAACTTGCATGATACAAGTACCTTAAGCATATCGTTTTTTAGATCAAATATTTACCAGTTAATTATAGTATTTAATTGTACAAGTTCCCCTTCTCGAAAAGCTGTAACCGGATTTTTACCGATTCCGTATAGTGACATCAAATCCTTATCAAGGACTTTGCCATCCTTTGCTGCCAAAATGCGCTTTTCATAATTCATACACAGGGTGCAACAAGACGATCCTGAGCTTTTGTGAACAATGAATTTTACTCAAAGTATATTAATTTTTTGTAGGAAAATGTCTAAATAGTAAATAGTTGTTTTTTTTTAATTATATAAATTTCCCCTATCAGTATTAGCAATGATTCGTGATTTATAGATTGTAAAAAGATTACCGATTAAATAAAAATCCTGAAGTGGAGTGCAAACAAACTGGCGAAGGTTTTTATTATATTTTATACATTTTTATTTATTTCTCTTCTCAAAGCTCATTTAAAGAACGATTTAAGAAATAAAGGGCAAATGACGTTCTTTGTTTTGACAGAAATTACAAAGTACAGGGGTAAAAATGACGAACTGATCTTTAAAATAAAAGATGGATGGTCACCGTGAGTATACTCCTTACCATTCATCCTATTGTTTGTATTTGTGACTCCGTATTTAAATTATTTATTGGTATTTATTTATGTATTTGATATTTTTTACACGAAATGACGAGCATACACTATAATTCAATATAGTCAAGAATTTTAGCTGGTCTCGAAATTATTTTTTGTAGCAAAACTATTTCAGCTAGGGCTTTTTGCTTTCACAAATTTTCATTCCTTCAGTTGGGGCATTTTAAAAAGTGGCATAAGTTTGCAAGTTTTGAGTTGCGGTTCTAAATTTTTTATGGAAGGTGGGTTTAGGTGGCTTTAGTATAAGCTTCTTAGGAATTCATGAAACAAAATTTCGAAAAAAATGTCAGTTAGGGCCTTTCTACAATTCATTAACATACACATACATACATACATACTTATAAGTAAATCGTTTTTTATTCAGTGCTATCGAATTAAAATTCAAGTCATGTTTTCACTTCGGTCTACTATCGTAAAAGAGTTTAAAACAAAGATCTGAAACCTCGAAAGAGGGGCAGTAACCAAAAATATATGTACATAACTTAAGACGCATTAAAACGTTAAAATATTTTTGATTGTTTCAGACTTTCTTTCTCAAGAACTACAATTCTTTGCCAATTAAGTTTACAGGCTTTTATTTATCTTTATCACGCTACCTAATTATTAATAAATTCTTTTGACATCTGTGTACTCTCGACAATACTACTTTTTTCATAGCCTTTTCAACAAATGGAAAGCACTTCTGCAATCATTGAGCACAGTGTCAACGTTCAACCACAAATTCTATTTAAAAGAAACCCACTTTCTACATTCCTCTGTCTGACTTTATTGCATGATACATTCTTTGCCTCCAGGCTGTTGGGTATTTCATATTTAAATGCCCACAGGCTGAATAGTTCCGGCATATATTTACTATTAGGTCACCATGGTCTTTTATGATTTCTCCAATTGGCTAAATTGGTTGCCATAGCGAGTGGCATACATATACATAGCTTTTCGTTAGGTGTGCGAATATTTTCGCACTAATTTGTGTATTTAACGCGTTCAATTATTTATATATTGACAGCTGTATAGTAGCATAGAAATCCTGCGCAAATGTACATTCATACATCCATATGTACAGTATGTACATACATATTTTAATTGAAAGTGATTGAGCAACAATTAAATGTGTCGTAGAGATATTAAGAAATTTATAACACTTGTTAAATGAAACCCGATAAATTCCGTTCAAGTTAATTTGTGAATCCTCGTATCCGCGATGCACCGTGGGGCCTTTTGACCTTTTTCGCTGTAGAAATCGTAATTTTTGAACTAATAAAATTATTTTAAAAATTTAAATTGCATCTGAACATATCTAAGCATTAAAATAAATTTAAACACAGGGTGTTTACAAAAACTGGGGACTTTAAAAATCATTGTCAAAATTTTGACAATTTTGAAAAATACAAAAACCAAAATTTTTCAGTAATTACTGGAGCCTAATTAATCAAAATCTGTATCTCATTAATTGCTTTATCAATATCTGCTAGTGTGTTCGATTATTCGCCTTTTTCGAAACCCGGTTTTCGAGTTAATCGAAAAATAACAATTTGACAAACGGGTTTCCACTTTCAAAATTTAGAAAAACTGGATAAACCAGTTTTATTTAAAATTTTTTGTCTGCAGTAACACTGTTAGTCAGAAATAATAACCAAAACTAGCTCATACCATATGCCTTGCTCATGACTACTAAAAATTTGGAAATCAATAAGGCAGAACAAGTTCGAAGCATGTAATTTGGATTAAAGGTGAAAAAGAAAAATTTAGGGAAAATACACACTTAATACGGTTCATCGCAATTCATTTAAATTTAGTTTGCATGTCAAAAAGTTTTTTTTTTTTTTTTTTAAATAGGTCTACAACAAAACATAAATTCCGATGAAATGCGTAGAATGATTGAACGCGTCAAGAACAAAAGAAAAAAAACGATTACAACTTTGACTGTTTTGATGTATGTCAAAGAGAAAGCATCGAAGGAATTTTTTGGATACCTTTCAGTAGATCGATTTTTTAGCGTTCGGAATATTATGTTCAGCTGGACTTTTACCAAAGTTGGTAAATCTGACGGGGTTTTCTACACAAATACTTACTTTTATGTGCACTGTTAGAAAAAAAGTTTTCTAATTTAGATGTTGCCTGAACCAGGGATGGAACACAGGTTCTGAGCAGTGGTAGTATGCAACTCTAATCGCTTAGGTACCGCGGCCAAAATACATAACACATAATCATTAAATAGAAAGTAAACATTAATTCATTTATAATATAAAGTAAACACCTAACATCAGTTTTTGAGCCAAACTGAACATTTCCAGCGTACAAAAACGTCCAACTAAAAGTTCAACCCGATTATGCGGCGATAAATAATGCTGGGAAGTATTCGTAATGTCCTTATTTTTAAAGATGGCCAGCTATATACTAAAAATTGGAGAATCAAACAAATGCTTAGATATTTAGGCGATTCACAGGATGTCGTAAACGTCGTATTATTAAAGTGGTATATTTTTTAATGTAAAATAACTGTTAAAATACTCGCAGGGAGCGAATTATACATTTTCTGTCAGTTGAAAAACATTGTAATCTAGTTGCAAGTCTTCAAATATATCGCTCGCTTAGAGCGAAAAGTTGCTAAATCCACGTTTTATAACAAGCGATTTTTGGTGTAGGAAGCAAGGAATGCTAAAAACTTATTGTTTCGAAAAAATGTTATTTCATTTCTACTCGTTTCTACTAATTACAATGTAAACTTGCTAAATTAGTAAAACTTGTTAATAATGTCAAATCCTACCGACACGTATGGAGTTTTATTTTGCCTTGATTCTGCAAAATGTGCATACAGTTTTGCAAAATATATTAAGAAAAGGGTTTTGGAAGTTTTTTCCCCTCCTGTAAAATTAAAAAAAAAAAAAAATAGACCTAGCACCATTTTCCTCTAACAAGCTTAGAGATATCTCTAACTAGATAATATGTAAATCAATCTAATGTACTTGAATATTAGAGATTATTTTGAAAGTGAATGTATATTATTGTAAAATAATATTTGGTGTGTGTAAACTTTACTACAGTGTCCTTATTTTTTCAGGTGGCCAACTAAAAACCAAAAACGGGCAAAAATATGTCTTCAACGGTCCTCCCTCCGGCATTTATGTGACCAGAACATGTGTATTCTTCACAGCGATACTAGCGCTGGTGGCGCTCCTCTTCACCATACTCATAACATATTTCCTGACAGCGAACTCAGTGGCGACGCCAAGGTGTGTATTAATTGCAAAAATCAGTCCTCAGACAAATAAATAGATACATATTGTTAGTTACATTAAGGGTGTTTAATATCAGTTACCAAATCAATCCATTCGACCCACTTACCATTTGTTTAAGTACAGAAAGATGTTTCGCTTCATTATGAAACACTTTCTTTGCATGTGACCACTGGTCGGTAGACGGTGGCAACAATAGCTGTAGCTACACCCATTTATTGACATCATGCACGACATGCAAACTGAAATGGAAAGTGTGAGAAATGTAAATTTACATCATCAACTGGTTTTCTAATTTTCTAAATCTCATCAAAAAGGATATTCAAGGTGTGTTCAGCATTAAAACTGAAACGTTTTAGTGCGATTTTTTTTTTCTTTTTCTATTAGCGCCAATCAATTTAATTAAGTTGTAACCTCGATTAGACAATTTGCGGTATTCGAGTTTAATAACCTCTTTGAATTAAATACCTTCTGCTTTACGGTTGGTTGTTGGTAGTTTTGGTTTCTGTTTTATGTTCAGCTATTTATAGGATTTCGTTTTTTATTGTAGGGATAAAGGTTAGCACTGACACAGTTAATTTTTTTGTAGCGCCACTAATAGATAAGTGACGTTCAATAATTGTTTAAACTTGAAAGCGATATATTTTTTGACAAATAAAAATGTGGAGTGTACATTAGACTGCGCCGCAAAAAAAAATTTTGCAATTAACCCACTAGTTTGAAAGCATACTTTGAGAGGAAGTTGGGAAAGATGGATAAAAGCTTTGAAAAATTGTGGAGAATTTAAGCTGGCATCCCACTTTGAAGTTGGGAGTTTAGAGCAAGCGTTATACCACAAGAAATACGCCCTGGCGGCCTTTTTGTACGTGGAAGGTGAATTTAACAATGCTAGTTTGGTATTTATGCACTGTTCCATGGTGGCCGTGGTGGACTGGGCCTACTAATCACTCTCTGGATTGACAATATGTTGATTACCAGAAGCAGCAATGGCTTCTTGGGAACAAGAGAAATAAGGAACACTGCCACACGCGGTACCCGTACCCTGTTGTGGAACCTCGTTCTAAACGAATTCCCGCTATGCACATCGAAAGCCACTAAGGTCGTCGCGTATGCAGATGAGTTAGTCATTATGGTCGTGGGTAAATTCGTCTCGATGGTCAGCGAGATTCTACAATCTGGCAGTGTGGGCAGAAAGGAACGGTCTAGGGCTTAACCTCTCCTAAGCCGAACTTGTTCTCTTCACCAAGCGATATAAGGTAAACCAATTTCGAAGTCCATCCCTTAATGGAGCAAATCGTATATTGCCAAAAGAGGCACAGTTTTTGGGAGTTATTCTCCACTCTAAACTTTCCTGGAAAAGGAACATCGAAGAGCGGAGAAAAAAGGCGCTTAACCTCAACCTGCAAAACGTGCAACGAAAATAATGCCTATTCCCCACGGGGCGATTCATTTAATGTCCTAAGTGATGCTAGAGACACTCATGGACATTCCACCCATAGACCTATACGGAAATTGACTTCGATCAAAACTTTGATATCCATATAAATATGATATCCGACATAAATAACTGGGGAAAACTCAGTGAGAGGGAAGATCAGTATGTTTGCATATATGTACATAAAAAAAAA